GTCTGCCCCATTTTTCCTTGGGGGAGTTGATCTATTCTGGTTATTCGAGTTGCCAGAGTTTTTCCGCTGATTCCGCCCCATTCTGAGTTTACCTTGTTTGGAGGCCTTATCAGAACTGTTCAGTTGGTGGCTTTTTCTTGTTGCCCAGAGAGAGAAAGGCAGAGCGTGTCTGTTGTCTACTCCCAGTTCTCAGGTGCTGGGGTAACTGGGGTGCAGTGGAACGGCAGCAGCTGCACGGGAGTTTGCTTGGCCGGATTAGACCTCGTTCAGCCTATTGGGGCAACCAGTGGACAGGAGACCGGCAGTAGCCGGATCAGTCCTAGTTCAGCACTCTGGAGCAGTCAGGGGTGGTGGAATGGCAGTGGTAGTGTAGGGTATGCAAGCGATCAGATCAGTCTTATTTCGGCCCCACCAGAGTAGCTGGGGGGAGTGGAGGACTCCTTCACCGTGGCCTGTTGGACGTGTGCGGCACTAGCAAGCCGATCTATTCCCTCCCAGCCTGGGAGCTGGAGTGGGGAACTCCTCCACCTGCATCTGTGAGACACACATGGCTCTAATAAACAGTTCTTGGCCCGCCCAGAGCGCTAGACTCCTCCACCACCTCCTGCAGGGTGCGCGTGGCTCTAGCAAGCAATTCTGGGCCCACCCAGCACAGGTGCCTGGAGCAAGGAACTCCTCAGCTGGCCCCTGTGGGGTGTGCGTGTCTCTAGAAGGCTGTTTGGGGTTTGCCTGGAATGGAGGACTCCTCCACCACTGCCCGTAGGACACCCGTGGCACTAGCAAGCAGTTCTCGGCCCACCCAGAGCCCTGGAGTGGAGATCTCTTCGGCTGCCTGTGGGGTGCTCGGCTCTTGCAAGCAGTTTTGGGTCCTCCCAGAGTGGGGGACTCCTCTACCACTGCCCGCGGAGTGTGCGAGGCTCTAGGAAGTAGTTCTGTGCCTGCCCAGAGCAGGGGAAATCCTCTGTGGCCACCCGCGGCCCGCAGGAGGTGTGCTAGCAAGCAGTTCTATGCCCACCCAGAGCCTTGGAGCAGGGATCTACTCTGCCGCCCGTGGGGTATGTGGCTCTAGCAAGCAGTTCTGGGCCCTCCCAGGGTGGGGGACTGGTCCGCTGCCACCTGTAGGGGTGTGCAGGGCTCTAGCAAGTGATTCTGTGCCTGCCCAGAGTAGTGGGAAGTCCTCTGCTGCCACCTGTCACCAGCAGGAGGTGTGCGGCTTTAGCAAGCAGTTTTGCGCCTGCCCAGAGCCCTGGAGCAGGGATCTACTCTGCTGCCCGTGGAGCACATAGCTCTAGCAAGCAGTTCTGGGCCCTCCCAGAGTGGGAGACTCATCCGCAGCCACCTGCGGGGGTGCGCTAGGCTCTAGCAAGTACTTCTGTGGCTGCCTGGAGCAGG